AGAGACACAGAGAGAGAGGCAGAGACATAGGCAGAGGGAGAAGCAGGCTCCCTGCAGGGGAGGATGTGGGACTCCATCCTGGGACTCCAGGATCACACCCTGGGCTGAAGGCAGATGCTTAGGTGCTGAGCCACTCAGGTGTCCCACTATCTCCCTTTTATACCTGATTTTTTTTTTAAGATTTTATTTATTTATTCATGAGAGACAGAGCCAGAGACATAGGCAGAGAGAGAAGCAGGCTCCATGTAGGGAGCCAGAAGTGGGACTCGATCCCGGGTTGCCAGGATCACGCTCTGGGCTGAAGGTGGTGCTAAACGAGCCACCCAGGCTGCCCATATACCTGATGTTAATTTGAGTTTTTTCCCCTGATTTTCTTGATCAGTCTTGCTAGGGATTTATTCATTTTAAATATTAATTTTTATTTATTAATGTCTGCTCTTGTTTTTACTATTTCCTTCTTTCACTTACTCTGAGTTTATTTTCCTCATTTTTTCTGGTTTATTAAGCCAGAAACTTAGACATTGATTTTATACTACTCTTTTTGAGATACTTTATAAACTTCCTTTGTGATTTCTTCTTTGTTTAATGGGTTATTTAGAAGTATATTGTTAAACTTCTAAATATTTGGGGATTTTATTTGTATCGATTTCTCATTTAGTTCCATTATCTTAGATAATTTCTATTAAGATTTGAGTTTTTTGAAACCTTCAGACTTGGTTTTATGGCCCAGAATATGGTCCTTGTGCATTTGAGAAAAATAGATATTCTGCAGTTATTGGGTGGTATTCTACAAATGGCGAGTAGATCAAATTGGTTGACAGTGTTGTTGAAATCTACACATTTTTTTATCTGCTTGTTCTAATACTTAACTGAGAGGTGTTAAAATCTCCAGTTATGACAGGATGGAGTCTCACAAAGGGCTCCCTGCATGAAGCCTGCTTCTCCCTCTGCCTATGTCCCTGCCTCTCTCTGTGTTCTCTCATGAATAAATAAATAAAATCTTTAAAAAGGGGGGGGGGGATGCCTGGGTGGCTTCAGCTAAGGGCCTGATCCTGGAGTTCTGGGATCAAGTCCCACATCAAGCTCCCTGCATGGAGCCTGCTTCTCCCTCTGCCTGTGTCTCTGCCTCTCCCCATACCTCCCACCTCTCTCTCTCTCTCTCTCTCTCTCTGTGTGTGTCTCTCATGAATAAATAAATAAAATCTTTAAAAAAAATCCAGTTATGATTATTTGCCTATTTATCTCTAGTTCTATCAGTTTTTGACTCATGTGTTCTTTTTCACTTAAAAAACTTTTTATTTTGAAACAACTTTTAAATTCTTTTTAGAAAACATTTATTAGTGAAGTACATTTGATATACAGTGTTATATTCATTTCAAGTGTACAACATAGCGATTTGACAATGATTCATGTAATCTGAGCTTCCATTATTAGGCATTTACACATTTACGATTATTTTATCTTCCCAGAAATTGATCCTTTTATTTTCATCTCAAATGGCCCTCTGGCTAACATTTGTGTTAAATCTTGAAGCCTGCTCTGCCTCACATTAATATACCCACTCCAGCTTTCTTATGCTTCCTGGTTACAGGGTATATATTTTTCTATCCTTTCACATTCAATCTGTGTCTCCATATTCAGATAACCTCTCTTGTAGATATAGCATATTGTTGGATCTTGCTTTTTATTTAGTCTGGTAGTTTCTGCTTTTAGTAGAAATGCTCAGTCCATTTAAACTTAATATAACTATTGATATGATTGATTTTATGTATAGCATTTTGTTTTAAAAAAATTAATTTGATTTTGTGTTTTTGGTTCAGTTCTACAGCATAATGATTTGATATCTGTATACATTGTGAAATGATAACCACAAGTATAATTAACTTCTATCACCTTACACAATTATAAACTTTCTTTTCTTGTGATGAGAACTTTTAAGATTTACTCTCTTAGCAAGTTTCAAATATGCAATACAGTATTATTAACGATAGTCACCATGCTGTTTATCTCCATGACTTACAAATTTTATAATTGGAAGTTTTTTTCTTTTGACCCCTTTCTTCCATTTCTCCCATACCCTACCCTCCCTACCTCCAGCAACCACCATTTTGTTCTCTTTGTCTAGCAGATTGATTTTTTGGTTTTGGTTTTTTAAGATTCCACACATAAGTGAGATCATACAGTATTTTCCTTTCTTTGCTTGACTTTCTGCTTCTAACATTTACTGTAGCCTAACCCTATACTCATTTTTGTTTTCTTATATTTCATTTTTTTTTAAATTTAAAAAACTTAAAAAATTTTTGAGTATAGATGACACATAATGTTACATTAGTTTCAGGTTTATGAGATAGTGCAACTTCTCTAAGTTATGCTATGTTTACCACCAATGCAGCTACCATCTGTCACCATACAACACTTATGATATCACTGACTACATTCTCTTAGCTGTGCCTTTTATTCTCACTTGTTCCATCTTTTAAAACACTTTTTATTCTGTTCTTTCTTTCCTGCCTTCATTTTGGTTAATAAAATAATTTTTAGTATTTTATTTTTATAAATTATATTTCCAGCTATTGCTTATGATGGGGATTTGTTTTAAAAGTAAGAACCTGGGAATCAGGTGGAATAATTAAATTCACTTAGAACAATATTTATCAATAAGGATACCTAACGCTGCTTATGGAGATCTACATGAGCAGCAGATATATATGAGGCAAAACTGAAACACAAGTTGAGAATCTAGAGCTGAATCTACAAGAATTTGTATACTTTCTGTGAATTAGCTATAAGATGTAGATCCTCGTATCACTGTCCTTCCTTCAAGGCACTCAGTATATGAGCAATTTCTATGTTCACTCATTTGTTCAAACTATATTTCCTGAAACGTCTACTATGTTTAAGGTGAGGTAACCATTACAAAGGATAAAAGATGAATGAGAAAAGGCTTCTAACTTCAGTAGCATATAATCTAGTCAAAGGGATAGGATAGGTATAGAAATAGCTAATTCTTTTTTTTTTTTAAGAAGACTTTTTTTTTTAATTTTTTTTTTTTATTATTTATTTATGATAGTCATACAGAGAGAGAGAGAGAGAGAGAGGCAGAGACACAGGCAGAGGGAGAAGCAGGCTCCACGCACCGGGAGCCCGATGTGGGATTCGATCCCGGGTCTCCAGGATCGCGCCCTGGGCCAAAGGCAGGCGCCAAACCACTGCACCACCCAGGCATCCCGAAATAGCTAATTCTTAAGCACAAAGTATAGTATCTGACACATAGTTCAATAAATATTAGTAATAAAATTTTAAATTCTTATGCATATAACAATGTGTTAAGTAACAAATTAGAAATTTTTAAAACCCTAATATCAATTTGGAAGGATACTGTATCTTACTAGAGGGGTGGCAGGTAGATCAGCAGACCTTTTACAAATGAGGTGGCATTTAAGTTGGTTGTTGAAAGATGGGTAGAGTTCTGACAGAGATGTAAGCGAAAGGCATAACAAGAAAACAGAAACAATGAGCAAATATATAGAGGCAGGAAAATGTAGGTGAGTGTTTAAGAACTGCTTGAGCATTTTGCATGTAAACACAGGATTCGTACAGATAAAATTGAATGATGAAAGTGATACTTCATGAAGCTTTATTTGGAAGTAGTACATAAAGTCTGCAAGACTGCAGAGGCTGGGGCACAGCTTCCCTACCAGCTGTATCAAGAATGGTTGAGGTGTGCTTAAAAATGAATCTTGTTAGCCCTCAGGCACTGGGGGCTTGGCACAGCTGTAACCTCAAGGTCAGTCATGTCTAGCTATAAGGATTTCTGATTTTCTATTCCAGTATTCTATACAAATTTTTATAATTTTCTAAGTGTGTTATGATGTGAAAGAAGCACTAAACCAATAAGCCAGAAAGACCAGGAAGGGTAGTAATACAGATACGATGTCATGAGCAGCTGAATGGCTTGTGGGGTGACAGTGGCAGGAATGAATTTGAGATTGATAGATGTAAGAAACATCATGAAGGCAGAATTAGCAGGATGTAGACTGACTGTACAAAAACTATGTTTTAAAATATCTATAGAGAAATTCCAAGGTTGAAAAAAGTATAGTAGGGAGAAACTAATAGGTAATAGAGGGATAGAGAGGTCATCAGAGTTGAGAAGAGAAACTCTGATATCCAAGTAATTAGTATGGAGGTTGAAAGAAACTGAAGATGGTGGCCGGAAAAAAGAAAATTATAATCAGTTTTTCTTATTGAGTACCTCCAAAACCTTCAAGAAAGATATAAAAGTCTGTTGGGAATAAACACGATCGCTCAGGAACCTCATGCTCACTTGAGTCCTTTTCTTGGGCTTCCAGCACTGATAAAACACTGTTAAGGGGATGGGGCAGACACGGGTGAAGGAGGAGATGCTTGCACGTAGGCCACAGCTGATGCTAGAGTTGCAGAGGAAAGAGGGAGGAAAGGCATGAGCATGAGAGGAAGATGGATTCCATTTCATTCCCCCCACACATTCTTAAATATATCTTAAATACCTTTTAAACAGTTTTTAGTGGAAAGCTGATTTTTAGGACATACACAGATTTGTACAACCATGGATGCCATTTCATTTTATCTGACTGTGGAGTAAAAGGAACAGACATAATGATGAAGAAGTTTCTAACTGCACAAACTCCACAACACTGATTTAGAATCATGGCTTTACCGATTTTTTGAACTCTATAGAAAGGACTAGAGGCTCTACTATCTTTAGTACAAGAAAAGTGTATTCTCTTTGGAAGCGAGAATGAGAGGTTTTATAAAGCTAGGGTGAAGTGGAAGTTCCTGCAGGAATTCTCATGTTTTCAAGTAAAATCTTTTCTATGTTAACTGTATCCCATGGGACATCAGCTATGGCACATTTGGTTTTGGCCATGTGATAAAAAGAATCATTTCCATGGCATGTTCTAGGTGAACTTGGGGCTCTAAAGCTTCCACCTTTTGCCTTCTGTGCACCTCAGCTGTACCTTTGTGGAGATTTTCCAGGGGCTCAAGGACTCCTCTCCGGAAGGAGGCCATGGGGTCTTGAACACAGGATCGAAGGCTCAGCATGCTCTGTAAATGAGGCTCCCGAAGAAGCTGCTCCCGATAGGCTGCCAACTGAGGCGAGCGGCAGAGCAGGGCGGCAACATTGTGGACAAATTCTGGTACTAGGCAGGTGTAGGCATTATCTGCTTGGCAATAGTGATAGGCAACCACCTACAACGGAAAGATGAGAATGCAAACAGATTTATCAGGAGCAAGAACAACAGCCATGGTTACTATATGATCATTCTCTAACACTGTCTTCTGTCTCTCCATTCCTCAACTTTTTCAAGTAAAAACAAAAGCTGCTATTCAGAAACTGCCTGCTTTATCTAAGATCAGAAATTTGATATAATATTTCTATTGGGGCAGCCCTGGTGGCGCAGCAGTTTGGCGCCGCCTGCAGCCTGGGGTGTGATCCTGGACACCCGGGATACAGTCCCACATCGGGCTCCCTGCATGGAGCCTGCTTCTCCTTCTGCCTGTGTCTCTGCCTCTCTCTCTCTCTGTGTTTATGAATAACTAAATAAAATCTTTAAAAAAATATTTCTATTGTATACAATATCATAATTCATAATTAAAATTTTTAAGGCAAACAGTTTCGGATTGTAAGATTCCTTTGTAGAATTCAGGTTTTGGATTATAATAAATAAAAACAAACCTGAGAATAAAGATTTACATTTATCTCTTTAATATTTATTCAGCATGGAACAGGACAAGAAAAAGTCCAATCTTGTAATAAAGCATTAGGAATAAAATGATCACAGAAAAGCCATGTTAATCTCAATAAACACATTCACTTATTAAATCCTTACTTTTTAATATTAATGTTGTTACAATAGCTTTATAAAAATCATTTGGATTTAAGAATTAGCATTAAATATTTTCTAGCACCAGAGACAATCAGAATTAGATGACAGGAAAGGACTGAGATTTTTGTTAGCTTCAGATCTTAAATTCAAAGAAGTTAGAAAATACGTGAGTCTTAGTATCATTCAGCATCTGGGCTATCTGGCAAGAACCTGATTTTAACCTTTGGGTTGGTTGGTTTGAATTTTTACAGAACTCATTCCATACCTTCTGTTGTTCTCTTTGCCTCAAGGGCAAGGGTGATTTTAATCTATAGCTCTCTGTTGGCTCAGTACTCACAGAAGTCATGGGACTGATGAGATAACGTGAAATTGGCAGGGGAGATTCAGCTTGAATGTATTGAAGACACCTGGCATGGTGCTCCGCACAAGGAAAGTGCACAGTGATGCCAGCTGTTGCCTTCCCCCTTCCCCTCCTCTTCCTCTCCATCATCATCATCATCAATCATCATCATCATCATCGTCATCATCAACATCAAATCAAGGTTCTGTATACTCTCTTTTTTGGCTACTGGTTTTGTGCCTTTAGGCAGGTGAAAACTGCCCTAAGAGCATTCATAGATATACTAGTCCAGCTTTTCTATCATCTCTCAGAGAACAGTCATCCACTAAAGTGTTCTGTTTTGAAAAGACTCCTGATCTATAGGTGTGGTCATCGTTGCTCTTTAACAAACACTATAAATATAACTTTTTTTTTAAACACCTGAAATCCTTCTCATTAAGCACACACAGAAAAATTTAATACAGGAAATGTTACTAACCATAGAAAGCTGAGGATAGGAATTGCTTGTGAGTGAAGCAATGATATCTGAACACAATATGGAGTTGGAAATGAGGAGTTATATATAAAAAAATCTCCACTCTTTTCTTTAGAGAGATTGCTCATTGCTTTATTACTACCTACTTAAGCACAACATAAGGACCCAAAAAGAAAACCTGGCAGCAACTGATCTGTCCTCTTAATGAACAGTGAATGTCAGTGGTTATGTCCACATGGATACAAATATCCACTTCATAAAAAGCAAACAGCCAATCTCTGAATCAATATGAACTTTCATCATATTTTACCTTGATTGATTCCACATGTCAAGGTGAAGCACGGCTGAGAAATCAGCTGTAATTTATACTTTATCTAAAGTAATGGGATGTAAGTTTGAAGATTAAAAATTCTGAAATTTAGGAAGAGATTTCTCTTACTGATTTTATTAAAAATCATCTGTGCTCTTGGCTGACTGAGGTTTTATCTAACAAAGGTCATTGCTAAAGTTACCCCTTCTGTGGCTACCTTTCTTTCTTTTAAAATATTTCCTCAGCATTCCAAATATAAAGTCTCAATTGCTTTGCAGACTTCAGGCAGAAAGACCATTCAACATCTTCACAAAATTTGCACTGTGGCTCAAAATAGGTTATTTACTACACATTTCAAAGTAGTTATGCAGCATATGTACATAGAATATGCACACACAGTTAACTGACAAACACACATTCATTCATCAAACCTATCTGATACTTCCTCCAAATCGTCTATTGACACCATCTACAACTTTTCCTACATATACAAATAGAAACACGTCTGGTAATGTAGTCTTCTTCTTCAGTCTCTCACAGTGTTCAGTGGTATTAGATTTTTCCCTACAGCTTTGAGAAAGTTATCAAGGCCACCTATATTCAGTCACTATCATTCCAATTTCTCGGAAATGATTTGGAAGTAGTCTATGTCCAATAAATCAGCAGGTAGAAACTTTCTCCTTGAATTCTTGTCTCTGATGATGATTTGTTGGAATTTCATTTTGAGCTATGCCTCTCATATTATAAATTTATCTCCATTTCAAAGTTTTCTTAAGTTAAATCCCTCTACTTTTTATTAAAATAATTCTATCCAAAATATGTTTGATATGACCAGAATTATATTAATTCTTTGGGGAAGACAGTGAGTAAATTTTATTTATTTATTTACTTATTTTTAGAGAGGGCGAGGAAGAATCTTAAACAGGTTCCACACTTAGTGCAGAGTGTGCTGAGATCATGACCTAACCTGAAATCAAGAGTCAGACCCTTAACTGACTGAGTCACCCAGGTGCCTCAATAGAAAGTTAAATTTTAGATTACTCCTATGAGGGAAGAAAGCAAAAGGCAGGTTTGTAGGTTATATAGGCAAAAGACAAGACTGGAGGTCAGTATAGCTCTGGGTATAAAAAAACTGATCTGGGGCTGGCTCAGTCTGAAGCATGCAACTCTTTAGCTTGAGGTTGTGGGTTTAAAGCCCCATGTTGGGTGCAGATATTACCTAAAAAAATAAAATCTTAAAAAAATAAAAAGCTTTGATTTAATGCTGTGTATAAGAAATCATAAAATGAAGTATAATCCTTATCAAAGAGCCTAATCAAATGATTGAGTGGCAGCAAATCTGTCAGGCTCCTCTTCAAAATCCCAGACCCTCACTATCCAAGACCATTTTCTACTTCAAATGAATAATCTGTGACAGGATTAAGCTAATCTCACCTAAAGAAAAGGCAGCTCTGATTTGGAATTCATTTGGAAATAAAATTTGATTTACATAATGGCTGGCATTTGTACCATTTAAATTCTAATGTTGCAAATGCCCTCCCTTCAGGTCTGCTCCCATAATCTTGCTCCATGTCTCCTTTCATCACTCCTTGAGTTTCCTCATCTCCATTGACTGATTTCTTGCTCAATACATCATCCCCTTCCAACACTTAATGTGACTTCTAATATTTCCAGGGACCTGGAGGTTTACTTAGTTTGAATTATGACCTTCTCTTGCCTTTCTGTCCCTCAACTCTGACTCTAATCCTTACCCTTAGGCTGGAAGCTAAGAATAGCTCCAGACTTGGGTTTTGCCTCAGTAATTTTCCAGCGTGGAGGTCTACTTTTTTTTTTTTTTTTTTGGCAGTAGAACTTTTATTTACTTTTTAACTTTTTATTTTGAACTAATTTTAGACTTACAGAAATGTTGCAAAAGTAGTACACAGAGTTTCTGTATATTCCTCACCCAGCTTCTCTTTTTATTAATATCTTACATAACCATAGCCTAATTATCAAAACTAGGAAATAACACTGGCACAATATTATTAACTAAAGGCATTATTCAAATTTTACCAGTTTTCCACTAATGTCCTTTTTCTGTTCAAAGATTCTATCCAGGACCCCATAATGTATTTAGTTGTTATTTCTCCTCAGGCTCCTGTAGTCTGTAAGAGCTCCTCCATCTCTGTCTTTCATGACCTTGACACTTTTAAAGAATACTGATCAGTTACTCTGGTGACTGTCAATTTGAGCTTGTCTGATATTTTCCTCATAATCCAACTGAGATTTCTGGGCAAAAATACCACAAAAACAATGTTGTGTCCTTCTTAGTGTATCATATCATGGGGCCCACGATGTTGACATGTCTTGGTACTGGCGATGCTGACCTTGATCACTTTGGTTAAAGTAAAGGTTTCTGCCAGATTTCTCTACTATAAAGTTGCTTATAAAGTTCCCTTTGTAGTTAATAAAATATCTTTGGGGGATTTATTTACACTTTGCTTAAGATAGACATGACTGTGGAATTTAAAATGAGATCACTTCTTAAGTGTAATCATAATTTCCTACTAACAATATGTAACATTTTCCAAATATTGAACATAAACATCTTGAGACTTTCTCTTGATGAGAGAGAGAGACTAAAAAGTGACAATATGGAGAGATGTAATTCCTGGAGCTCTTTTCAGCACTCATCACGATCTGACATATTACATGTTCGTTTATTGGCTTTCTCCCACCATGAGAACATGGGCTACGTAACAGCAGAGACTGTGTCTGTTTTGTTCATTGCCTTAACTTCAGTCTTCTTTAGAGGCATTCTAAACATCCATTCTAAATGAGTAAATGGATGATGATGATGATGGCATTCAATGTATTTCCAAGGTGGTATTTATTCTGATTCTTCCAAAGAAGAGGCTAGAGATAGTTTATACAAAATATATAGAAAAAAACAGATGTCTTTTAAAGTTGCACTGAGTTAGCGATGAATATGAAGGAAATCTGAGACTGTTTTCAGAAGCCCGCTGATAAGTGGGGAACAGTTAAAAATGTAGTTCGGGGAAATATGCTGCTTTGAGCTCTAGGCTGGAACTGTATGTCTATGAAGAAATTAGAACGCTATGATATTACAGATGACTCCCCATTCCTCATTACTAATTAACCATGACAAGAGATTTCTCTGAATACTGGAAAAAGACATTTTAAAACTCTTGTTCTTCTCTTGGAAATCCCCAAAAATAAGGAGAACAAGAAAGAGAAGTGCAAACTCCATGTATGGTTATCTATCTATAATCTCAGATTATAATATACAAGGATGGGAAGTGGATGTAGGATTTATAAATGACTTAACAGATAGAAGAAGGTGAAACAGATGCCTGCTGGGAGTAATGACAACAGGACTAAGCCAAATCATTTGTTAAACCTCAGAAAAGCACAGGAATTAGAAGCACCAGGTACTATGGAAGATGAGAGTGAGGAACGGAATTGAAAATACAGAAATTATTTGAAGTTTATAAAAAAGGAGCAGTTAGATCTCCAGATAGCCACACCTACCCTGCCCAGCCAGGTGACTACCTTCCCCAATACCCATAGGAAAGAGAATTATATTCATTAGAGAAACAAAACCAAGGAGAGTAGGCCTAGGGATATCAGACACAGAATAGGTAAGGGACAAGTGCAGGACTGTAAACAAGAGATTTAAGTGAAAGTCTACATACTGAATGGTGAAATTCTAGCTCTTCTCTTGCCTAGCTCTAAATATATTTCCAGGATATATATCCTCCAGGAAAAAGATTGGAGGGTGTTTGCTACAAAAGAACAGCACAAGGAAAAAATTTATGAACACTGACTTTTGAGTATTTCCAATAAAGACTGGCAGGTCATCTTACTGCTGAATAGTTAAGCTTTCTACTATACATATAAGCTTCCAATCGGTTTTCCAGTGCCTAACTACTAAGGAAGAGATAAGAGAAAATACTGCACCTATAAGACCAGAACAGAATGCTACAAAAAAAAAGAAGGGAACAGGGCAGCCCCGGTGGCGCAGCGGTTTAGCGCCGCCTGCAGCCCAGGGCATGATCCTGGGGACATGGGATTGAGTCCCACATGGGGCTCCTTGCATGGAGCCTGCTTCTCCCTCTGCCTGTGTCTCTGCCTCTCTCTCTCTGTGTCTCTCATGAATAAATAATAAAATAAATAAATAAAAGAAAGAAAGAAAGAAGCTAAGTTGTGCTCTAAAAAAAAAAAGAAGGGAACAACTAGGGCAAAAGAAAGAGCTATTAGAAATTAATGATACTGGCTATAATGAATGATAGCCAATCCTTGTGAAAAGACTGGAAGGTAATGTTGAGAAATATCTCTTTAAAGTAAATAAAAAATAGAATAATAAAAGTAGAATACAAGAAAGAAAGCTTCAGAAAAGTAGAATAAGAAATCTAATTTTTTATTAAAAAGAGTTGCAAGGGGATCCTTGGGTGGCGCAGCGGTTTGGCGCCTGCCTTTGGCCCAGGGCGCGATCCTGGAGACCCAGGATCGAATCCCACGTCGGGCTCCCGGTGCATGGAGCCTGCTTCTCCCTCTGCCTATGTCTCTGCGCCTCTCTCTCTCTCTGACTATCATAAATAAATAAAAATTAAAAAAAAAAATAAAAAAAAATAAAAAGAGTTGTAGGGGCAGCCCCAGTGGCTTAGCAGTTTAGCGCTGCCTTTGGTCAGGGGCATGATCCTGGAGACCCGGGACTGAGTCCCACGTTGGGCTCCCTGCATGGAGCCTGCTTCTCCCTCTGCCTGTGTCTCTGCCTCTCTCTCTCTCTCTCTCTGTCTCTCATGAATAAATAAATAAATAAATAAATAAATAAATAAATAAATAAATAAATAAAATCTTAAAAATAAAAAAAATAAAAAGAATTGTAGAAGGAGAGAACTGAGGAGATGGTGGTGAGAAAATTATCAAAAAGTAGTACAAAAGCATTTCCTAGAATCAGAGAATATCTCTAAGGGCTTGCTAGGTACCAAGAGAATAAATGGAAAAAAGGACCAAGAAAAATGGTGATAAAAAAGAAAATCCTAAATGTTTCTGGAGAGAAAAAAATAGTATAAAGAACTAGGTATATAATTTAATAACACAATTATTAGCTCTAGACAGTGGAGCAATGCCTTAGAAATTGAGGGGAAATAATTTTTAACATAGTATTACATTTTTTCAAATCAATAGTAATGTATGAAAATAGAATAAAGATGCTTTTAGAAACATTAAGTTTTAAAAACTTACTTCCTAGGCTTTAGGAAGTTTAAAAACTTACTTCCTATGCTTTAGGAAGCCACCGGCAGATGTGCTCCACCAAAATTAGAAATAAAATCAAGAAAGAAGATGATGACATGGAATCAAACACAGAAGAGAAGTAATGGGAATTTCCAGGATAACAACTAGGTGGTAAGCCTCAAGAGTATCCTATGTCCAGACTGAGCTTGATGGAAGGCTCTAGATGGATGTCTCAGGAGAAATGCAACAGACGTGGAAAATTGTAGTGAGAGGCATTTTATATATTAAGGATTATGGATTATAGCTGTAGATTTGAAAAATAATAAGCACATTTTACTTTATTTAAAAAAATTTTTAAGTAGGCTACACATCCAATGTGGGGCTTGAACTCACAACTCTGAGATCAAGAGTCACATGCTCTTCCAACTGAGCCAGCCAGGTGCCCTCTGCCAAGAATAAGAAAAACTAAAAATGAGGCATTTCATAACCCTAGGAAAAACAAAATTGCTCAAGGAGGAAATGTTATCCTTGGTTCTACAATAAACCATATGTGCACAGTACTAATACTGAAAATACTATAATGCAGATTCACAAAAATGATGATATAATTGTACTGAGATGATGGAGGGAGGAAGGAAAGTACCAAAAATTCTCATCATCCTTAAGAAGCAGCAAGAGATAACATATAAAACTGATGAAAAAGTTATACAGTATATGAATATTATTTAGAAACAGTGGAGGTAAAGATCAGGACAACCTCAGAGGTTGAAAGTGGCTGCCTTTGGGGAGAGGATGGGGTGAGATGGGGAAAAGAATTGCTGGTTTTTATTATACGTCTTTGAACATTATTTCATTTGAAAATCATGCATATGATATAAATAGATATGCATATCTAAATCATGCATATGTTTAAATAGAAACTTAAAACTCAGACGTAAAAAATAATATGGACAGTATAGCAGGAAGAGTTTTAAACTAGGAATGAAAATAAAAAACTACTGAGTGCTTACACTGTGACTTGGGTAAATCATATAACTTCTTTGAGTCTCGACTTCCTTATCTATTCATTATGGGACTCTGGTTATTTCTGAAGACCTTTCAAATGATAAGGCTTTGATTCTGTAATGACAAAGTATTTTTCTAGGAGCAGCAAAGAAAGAGAAACTTTTCTCCATGGTCTCATGGTATTATAGCTGTACACATTTCTGTCCACTTTGCCAAGGGGCCCTCTACCTTTGCCCCTTGATGTTAAAATGGAACTGGCATGACCACACCCTGGAAACCCTATCGTACCTGTGAGGCTAGTCTCCGCATAGCCTCCTCCTGCCGCCTGCGCATTTCTGGGGTTCCTGGGCAGCTTCCACTGGGGATGGATGAGTGGGCTGAAGGTGGCTGGGTGAGTGGCAGTTCTCTGTTGGCATCCACATCTGGATTAAAAAGATGAGATGTTTGCATAAGATAATCATAAAACCCTGAATTAAAGGAGTACTGGTTAAATTCCACTTGTTCTATGATCCAACAATTCTATTCCAAGAGACGTAAAAACTTAGATCTGCAGAAAAACCTGTACACAAATGTTCAAAAATCAAGATTCATATCAGCACAAAAGTGAAAACAACTCAAATATCTGCCAACTAATGAAGATTTAAAATATGGAATATCCAGGGGCGCCTGGGTGACTCAATGGTTGAGTGTCTTTGGTTTAAGTCATGATCCCGGGGTCCAGGGATCTGGTCTCGCATTGGTCTCCCCATGGGGAGCCTGCTTCTCCCTCTGCCTGTGTCTCTGCCCCTCTGTTTCTCTCATGAATAAATTTTAAAAATCTTTAAAAAAAATATGGAATATCCATACAATGGAATATTACACTCACTCAAAGAAGCCAGTTACAAAAGACCATCTACTGTAGGATTCTCTTAAATGAAATTTCCAGAGTAGAGAAATTCATAGAAACAAAAAGTAAATTGGTAGTTATATAGGGGTGGAGGTAGGGAGTTAGGAGGAGAATGGAGATTGACCATTAGTAGGCATTTCTTTTGGGAGAGAACAAAAATGTTCTAATATTAGATTATGGTGATTGCTGTACAACTTTGTGAATATACTAAAAAGCACAGAGTTGAACAATTTAAGCAGGTGCATTGAATGGTATGTGAATTGTAGCTTAATAAAGCTGTTTTTAAAAAATTCCATTTGGGATGCCAGGGTGGCTCAGTCAGTTAAGCATCTGCCTCAGCTCAGGTCATGATCCAGGAGTCCTGGGATTGAGCCCTGTATTGGTATCGGGCTCCCTGCTCAGTGGGGAGCCTGCTTCTCCTCCCTGCTCTGCTTCTCCTGCTTGTGCTCTTTCTCTCTGTCAAATAAATACATAAAATCTTTTTTTAAAATTGTATTTGTTCATGTTATTTAGAAAGTGTCTTATCTCCTACTAGAAATTATAGACTATATATATATGGATGCAGATCATAGTATAAAAATGGGAACTAAAATAAGGAGATTGCTGATGGTTACTAGCCATTGAAAAGCAGGAGGAATAGGGGAAGTCCTCATTCAACTCTGCACCAGTAGGACTGAATTAAGACTTCTTCCATCCAGCTGGGAGAGTCAATTCTCCAGTCACTGGAGCCAGTTTAGAATAACTTGGAAGACAGAGGTTGGGAGACAGCAATGGAAAAAGACTGAAAATGTGTGACCTGAGGTAAAGCTCAGTGACTGTCACTGTATCATTTCTGTTATGCACTTTCTCCCTGCCCTATTCCCCTTTATTTCTGTCTGATTTTGTGGGCCATTATTGACTGAATACTGTCTTCTAGCTACTGCCATTTGGAGAAGCATTCCTTTTTGTCAGAGTATCCTCATTCTCTGCTCAGTACTCAGAGAACAGGAATTTAAATAAGTTTATAGGTAGGCAGCAGTCAATATGCGCAGCAAACTAGCCAAACAGACTCCTGAAACGAGCAGACTAGGGAGTGGAGAGGTGGCTTACTTAACAGCTGTCTGGAGGCTTGGCAGCTGTTGGCAAATGTCAAGTCCAAATAATACCTACACTGAGACTTTTAGGGACAGGAAAAAAAGAGTCTCATATTAAGCAGAGCTTCCCTAACTACTGTACTGAGTATACCTGTAGTTAACGTAATAATGCCTAAATTACACAACAGGTCTATTTTTACAAAATGCTTTTGTTCTCTGGGTGTCTGCATTGGGGGGTTGGTGATGACGGTGGTGGTGGAGACTGACGGGGGAGTTAGGTTTGGGAAGGGGTGTAGGTGGAAGGCAGGATGACAGGCTAGTGCCGGTCTTGACAGCTTCCCAGGGACATGACAAGGTGGGGGTGAGCCGGGGGCTGAGCATCTGTGGAGGAAGGACAGAGCCAGGCAATGAAGTCCTGCAGGCGGAGCTGCTCACATCTTTCACAGCAGCACTGCACAGTGTGGAGGAGGCAGGGGCGGAAGAAAGAAGGCAGATGATACAGAGATGGAAGATGGGAGCTCCAATGATTTTCCACCTTGTTTTCATTATTTCTACAACTGTATCCTTGGTATCACTGACTCAGGGTTAGGAAAACCATTGGGAATTCAAATAAACCTATCCAAGCTTGATGTAAATTAAACTCTGAAAAATTAAGCCATCTCTCTATACAGACATCATTCTTATTCATTAATGAAAGAAATTCTGCTATTGCCAGCAAAACTCCCAGTGCTGGCTTACATAATAACAGATTAATGCCAAAAAACAGCTCACATGCTTTATCAGTCATTTATTCTTGACCCTTCTTAAGGGCTAGTGGCTCTGGGAAGGTGGCAGAGGTAGAATGTAGTTTGGACTTCGGCAGATTACAACAAAAATTATTTTGTACAAAGCAACTACTGGTTCGGTGTAATTCTGATAAATACATAACCACATATTCTATCTCCTTTCACACTGGCTTCAAGTTTTCACAGTTAACTATCAGGCCAAATCTACAGTAACAACATATGGACATTTATCTCAAGAATGGGAGCGTCCTGATATTTTTAGAGTATCTCTGGAGATAAAAGGCAGTGGATGGATGTCAGAGAATAACTTAATGAACTACCTCTAAGGAACCCCTGCTTTGGGGAGCACATGGGCTGTGTTCTATTAACTCTTGCTCTCCCAGCTACCTTTGCTTTCTGAGAAAGCAGCTCTTCTTGCACTTGGGATTTAGTCTGTCCTGCAGGACTCACCATTCTGTTATCTGCAACAGTGATACACAGAGGACTCAGAGAGGCTATTAGCCATCTGGTTTCCTTTTTGACACACTCAAAGAGTCAACCTCTTGGATTACTCCTATAAGATATAGTTTGGTGTGACATTTAAGTACTCACAGAAAAACACTGGAATAGACTGGAAAGCTAATTTCAATGACTTTTCAACTTCAAGACGAAATGTTTTTAGAACCACAGAATCCTAACACAGGAACAAATCTTAAAGATCACTTCCTCATTTTACAGATGAGAAAATAGGTCTAAAAATTCCAATTAAAAGCCTTAAGTTACAAAGTATTTAGTCAATGGAGTGCTGGGGCTCCAACTCCATGACCCAATGCCAATCTACCTCAGAAGAGCTTCATGTAGAAACTAACAATGCTACTGCTTGTAAGGAAGGAGCTCTTCCATACCCATTTTCACCACACCCTGGTAAACAGGGACTCTCGATTCCACCAGCCTTCTCCATAGACACTAGATCTCCATGTGAGGTGTCCAGAAGGTGACCAAAGGTAATTTGCCTGCACAGTGACAGGAGGCTGCTAATTTCATCAGGAAGCAGGATGTCTGCAGGATGCTCAGTAGAGTTCCTGTTGAGTGTCTAGCATATGGTAGACTCTGTATCTACTATGATCTCAAGCCATCTCTAGTGGTTGCTGTCTGAAAATGTGCCGTGAGCTACATTATTGATTTGGACTAACAGAGCAATACTTTTTGGTTTTGTTCCCTTATAACTAACAGAAGCCAGATAGACTGTTCTATACATATAGGGCATATAAGGAAGAACAACTATACATTTCCTTTCTTCAGGTCAGTTTCTCCAACACGGAGAGGCCAGACAGCAAAATGAGTAAGAGACTGACCTCTGAAACCGACTGCTTAGGCTCAAATTCTTGTTTCACCATTTACTGGCTTTGAAACCTGGGAGATCTACTTAACCTCTTTGAGCCTCAGACCATTTATCTGTGACATGAAGATAAGAGGAACTACCTTACTGAGTTGATAAGAGGACTGGGTGAATTAAGATTTGTTAAGGTCTTAGAGAGTGCCTGGTACTAAGGACCATGTGAGTATTTTAAAAATAAACAAATAAGATCCTGATGGTGATCAGTAAGCTGTGCTTTGCCTGTGATGAAAGAAGTATGAATACATATGATATCTCAGCATCTTTTTACAAGGAATTAGAAGGAACCCTTCAAGGACACAATGAAGTTCAAGCCCAAACAGTGCAGTACTGACATCAAGAGCAAGGAAATGAAGGCTGTGAACAGACTGTGCTGGCTAGTCGCAAGAAGACATGGGCCCTGGCAGAGCAAGAGCTGACAGCGATAGATGCAATGGCTCTTACAGGCGATTGCTATAGTCATTGTCCAAAGGATAGATTAGCCAGACTGCCAGAAGGGAAGTCATAAATTTATTTCTAGAGAAAGGTTTTCTCAGTCACACTTAGATGACTGCTAGATATGTGGGCTAAATGTAAACAGGGTATTACATTCTTTGTCTCAACTCTGAATTAATGGTCCTCACATGCAAGTCAGGTTTTGCAGATCATAAAATAAAATAAAAAGGATATTAGATTTAATATGTCAGAGAAACATCCAGAACAATGAAGTAGTACAAAAAAGGAATACGTACGTTTGGGGGAGGCATGTGGGCTGTCTGAGGCAATCTGCCTCATCCGTGTTCCATGGCAGCTGAGGGCCACCAGTCTGGAGATGATGGCAGTTTTGCCGAACCCAATATTTCCCACAATCACTACTCCTTGGTTCACACTGGCATTCGAACTCTGAAGCTGAGCATCTATTTCGTGGAAAACCCAATCCCGACCAACAAACACGGACTCTGTAGTGATGCTGGGCACTTCAAAAAGCAGAGGCTTCAGGGAGATATCTGGAGGCCTATAAGGTGCAAAGTGAACTGGAAGGAATAAGAGAACACAGAATTTAGGCCAAACTTTCATCACTGAAAGAAATACAGAAGAAAAGCAGCATGGTTTAGGAGACTATTAGTTACAGTACAATAGTATTCTGTAACTTGTTACAGTTACTCAGCAAATAATTGCTGAGTAGCTCTAATTGTTACTCAGCAAATAATACAACTCAAAATGGGTTCTACACAGATAGCAGGTGAGGTAGGGTCATTTGATACCCTAGTTGGCACAAAACAAACATGGTTAAAATGTCAATGATTTATGGAATAGTCAGAAAGACACAGTGATATTCAAAATTATTAAATAGTGGGGAATGCCTGACACGAGCAATCAGAATGGATGTGAAAGTAGTACAGAAGCAGGGTCCTTACGGCTTCCTTCTATGACTGGAGATAACCTTCTAGCTGCAGGATTGTGGGAAGAAACAGGGTTGGAGTTCCTGGGAGAGAGTCCAAGCTGTGGCAGAGCATCCAGATGGCTTACAGCATCAGCTCTTTACCAACCAGCGAGGACATATTTCAATATTTAACAACTAATGTGGCTAAAACCCCCAAACTTTACTAATCAGTGCATATCAGTCTTGCAAAAGACAATGCAAAGAGGACATGTCTGTTTCTTTAAAAATATCAGTGAATAGTAATTCCTTTTAAGTTGGTATTTTTCTTTTTAATTTAGTAGGTATATTAAGATAAGCAAAGCCTTTCAAAGCTCTGATAGTTTAAAAAGTCTTCAACATGTTAAGCAGTCAAGGAAGCAGAAACCAAACTTTGACCTCAGGTCTTGCTTCTCTACTGTTTGTATTCATGCCAATTAAAAAAGAAAAAAAAAAAACCAACAAGGATTTTTGGCTTATATACACATGTCTTGGAGACAGATCCTACTGCTTTTCTCAAGATTTTTTCCTGTGCTTCTGTAGTTGTGGGATGTGCTAAGAGCCAAGTATGAGCTCTACTTTCAATAGTTTTCTAAAAATGTATAATAGATGTAACTTAGTTTCAAAGATCAGCCTTCTAATTTTATTGATGGTAAAAAGAAGTCCTGTCTATGACCTCCCTTATATGGGTTAATGTCTTTCTAACTGTTCAGAGAGTAGCTCTAAGATGTGTCACTTCATCTGTCTGGAACCAGGTATCTTTTTTTTTTTTTTTTTTTTTTTAAGTAAGCTCTATGCCCAATTGGGGACTTGAACTCATGACCCTGAGGTTAAGAGTCACATGCTCTGACTGACTGAGCCAGCCAGGTGCCCCAGGAACCAGGTATCTTATTTTTGTTATCTTTAACCTTAGACAGTGCTTTGACATATAGCAGGTACTCAATAAATGCTTACTGAAAGAATTAATTAAAAATAAGGTATTCCACTAACCACATTTTATATTCTGAAGAATAAAGCCCAGGGGAAGGGAACAAAGATAGGAGAAAGGGAAATTATAAAAGGGGGAGATGAGATCTATTTATGCTGCTCATATTATTCTAGAACATACTTTAAAAAACCACTTATACATCATTAAACGGGATCTAGAGATGGCAGCTTACTTGAGAAAATCTACTCACAAAAAGCATACATGTACACGCTCTCATTAAAAAAAGGATAACAATTCTAAAAAATAGTGCAAATAATTAAAAATATAAAGCCAAACTCTAAAAAGAGGAGAAAATAGTTTCCTCTATTAGTTTTAAAATGTCCCAAATTTTCACTAAAAAAACAAAACAAAACAAAACAACCTAAAAAATCCTGGAGATTTAGCTACATAATCCCTTATAATTTCCTGATTCTCATCTCTTTAGCAAAACTTATGTTTAAAATCCATAACTAAAAAAATAAATAAATCCATGAATATAAGCTAATGTAATACTATATGTTAACAACTGGACTTAAGATAAAGTTTTTAAAAATTCATAACTATAATTACATAATTCAGTGAAAAATTTGATTTAACTTGCTAAGTATATTTTTTATAATTCTAATGTCTTATAACTAGCTCATAGTCTATTTTAACTTTCTTAATAATTACTTTATTGGCCTATACTTTACAGATCATAAAATTCACACTTTTAAAGTATATGGTTCAGTGGTTTTTAGTACAGTTGACCCTTGAACAACCTGGGGGTTATGGGACATGATGCCCCTGGAGCTAAAGATCCATGTGTAACTTTTGACTCCCCCAAAACTTTACTAATAGCCTATCTGACTGAAAGCCTTACTGGTAGCATAAACAGTCAACTAACACATATTTTGTATATTTTACACACTATGCCCTATATTCTTACAATAAAGGAAGCTAGAGAAAAGAAAATGTTAGTAAGAAAAATATAATAAAGAGAAAATGCATGTATAGTACTGTCTGTAAAAAATCCACATATAAGTCAACCAGCACAGTTCAAATCTGGTGTTCAAGTGTCAACTATATACTCACAAAGTTGTGCAACCATCACTATCTAATTCCTGAAATGTTATCATCCTCCAGAGAAAACTGTATACCCATTAGCTGTTATTCCTTAGACCTACTTCCTCCCAGACCCTGGCAACCAGAGGCGTCCTGTCCTTACAGATTTGCCTATTCTGGACATACACAGGAAATGTTATTTTGTTATATGTGCTCTTTTGTGTCTGGTTCATTCAGCATAATGTTTTTGAGGTTCATTCATATCAAAACATGTATCAGTATTTCATTCTTTTTATTGTTGAGTAATATTCCATTATATGGATATATCACATTTTGTTAATCAATTTATCGGACATCTAATTTATTTGCACTTTTTGACTATTATGCTTATGCTGGTATAAACATTCATGTACAAGTTTTTGTGTACATATGTTTTCAGTTATCTTGGGTATATATCTAGGAGTGGTATTGCTGAGTCATATGGAAACTCTATGTTTAACTTTTTGAGAAAGTGCTAAACTGTCCTATTTTGCTTTTTGCTATTTTTTTTTTTTACAGAAGTAATACATATCCACTATAGAAAATTTAGGAATAGCAGACAAACAAGATAATAATTGTATTTCCAGTACCCAAAGAGAAACACTATTCACATATATTCTGAATTTTTTTCTGTACCATAAATACTTATTTTAAAAACTCCAAATAGGATCATACTGTAGATCCTGTTTTTTTTAATATATATATTTTTTGTATATTTTTTATTGGAGTTTGATTTGCCAACATATAGTATAACACTCAGTATTCATCCCGTCAAGTGCCCCCCTCAGTGCCCATCACTCAGTCACCTCATCTTCCCGCCAACCTCCCCTTTCCACTACCCCTTGTTCGTTTCCCAGAGTTAGGAGTCTCTCATGTTCTGTCACCCTCTCTGATATTTCCCACTCATTTTCTCTCCTTTCCCCTTTAATCCCTCTTACTATTTTTTATATTCCCCAAATGAATGAAACCATAGGACTATTTGTCCTTCTCCGGTTGACTAGAAGTATCACTCACCATAATACCCTCCAGTTCTATCTATGTTGAAGCAAATGGTGGGTATTCGTCATTTCTATAATTTTTTTTAAAGATTTTATTCATTTATTCATGAGAGACACAGAAAGAGAGAGAGGCAGAGACACAGGTAGAGGGAGAAGCAGGCTCCATGCAGGGAGCCTGACGCAGGACTCGATCCTGGGTATCCAGGATTAGGCCCTGGGCTGAAGGTGGCGCTAAATCGCCGAGCCACCCAGGCTGCCCTTTCTAATGGCTGAGTAATATTCCATTGTATATATAGATCACATCTTCTTTATCCATTCATTTTTCGATGGACACCGAGGCTCCTTCCACAGTTTGGCTATTGTGGACATTGCTGCTATAAACATTGGGGTGGAGGTGTCTCGGTTTTTCACTGCATCTGTATCTTTGGGGTAAATCCCCAGTAGTGCAGTTGCTGGGTCGTAGGGTAGCTCTATTTTTAACTCTAGATCCTGTTCTCCTTTTTTCATTTTTCACTTAGCAATTCCAGAATTCTGATAAAGTTAATTCTGGGAGACTTGCCAGCTTAATGGCTGTGTCAGTGGTGGGATTGACTCTTGGAGCTCCTTACTCCACCATTTTTTCTTGTCACTTGATGGGAGGTGGCTGCTACCCACTTAGTGCTTCCTGGGTACCTGAGTGCACTCGGTAGGCACCCAGAAACACCCTATGAGATCAGGATGAGCAGTGATAGGACTCCCCGGGAAGAAGGAGAAAATGGATCAGTTGGCTTAAGATGAGTCTAATTAGGCCTAGCAAGACCTGAAGTCATACAGTTGGTGTCAGAAATAGAAACAAAACCTAATTCTGATGAAAAAAAAAATCCAGGTTTTTTTCTTTATATTATGTTGCAGCTGCTCTAAAGGATGTCACTTTCAAATCTGAATGTGACATGAATGATCCTACTGATGACCAGGACTGATTAGGCTTTAGCTGACAGGCTAAGCTGTCTTCTTTCTCCTTCACTTCTCCTGTGCTTCCCTTTAGGAACCGTGTGCTTGGCCAGAAATAACCTTTCCAGAGAGAGAAGAGCTATAAAAACTCTTATTTGATTTCTAAACTAACAGACTTATCTCTTCAGGTCCAAGAGTACTTTATATTTTCTATCAAAGAGGCTTTTAGGAATATGACCGATGCTAATTTGTAATATGGAATTAAGTATAGACTCCATTTAAATGCTTAAGTTTTTGAGAAAAATTCTCTTAAGATAACTTGTTCTCATGTTGACGTCATCTCCCATCATGTTTTATTCTACTGAGAAAGCTTTGACATTTTAAAAAGTTATTTAAAAAATTTTCTAAAAATGTAATCAATTCACAAAAGCCTCAAGGGAAGAACAGACAAAATTAGCCCAGTACCATATGGTAAAACAACTGTAGACGCCAAGAACAGCTAGAAACAATTTCTGTACCTCAGAACCTAAGGCTTTTGTCAGCTCAATATGATGAAAGAGAGCCCTACTTCCTATGTACCAATAATAAATTTAGGACATACGAACAAGAAAGCATTTTGGCCTGCATTGTGGGACA